GGGCGGCGAACGCACAGGCGACGAGGTCAAGTAATTGTATGCGAAAGAAAAGCTGTTATGAATGTGCGGTTGTACTTTGAATGGTTGAGAAATAGTTACCCTAGCCCTAACCCTAACCCTAACCTCAAACACTACCCCCTAACTCTAATAACTAACCCTAACACTAGTGTGTCCATCAGACGGGGCTACATAACCGCATCTTACTAAAATCCCAAATCTCGCCACCAGAGAACTCGAACATCAACGCCACCGACGATATGGCATTCTCTGCCATACATCAAGGGTGTTTCAGAAGCGACCGAGCGCACTGCCGCATAGCTAGGTGTTGGAATTGCACACCGCCCAAAGCCACCATCCGCAACAAGGTCATAAAAAATTTAAGACCGGTTAAAACCTGAAGAGCAATCTGGAGTAGTGTATCGCATTCCGGGTCAAAATTGCCCTTGTAACTACACAGGACAGACTGGACGCATGCTCGGATCGCGCATACACGAACATAAGCTGGCTGTGCGGCGAGGCGACGCATTATCACAAGTGGCCACCCACACCTACGAAATGGGTCACGAGTTTAACTTCGCAGCCACCAAAATAGTCGCCCACGCCGGAAACAAAACAGGCCGAGAATTGATTGAAGCCTGGGCCTCGGATGAGAACTCGGTCAATCGGTTTATCGATCTGGCGCCGGCGTACAGAGCCCTGCGTAGTCACCTCCAGTCGTGCGACGTCGGTCGATGATTGGGCCTACATACCCTATAACTGCCGCTTGTCCTGTTTCTGCCACTACCTCTGACGATGGACTCCTGTACGAGTCTGAAAGCTCAGGACAATAAACGAAGTGTTCCGGTGCTCGACTCTTCTTCTTCACTTATCTCCTCTCTTCCCTGAAAGCTGGCGAGGCATGTGAACAGCGGACCAGGCAACCATTCGACAACTTCAACAGTCTAGTGCCATATTTTAAATACCCCTGACGGCCAAATCGTTGTTACCATGATCTGGCCAATTAACCCACTGTATAGGCAACCAACCAAAAAGCAGACCAAAGCAGGGAGTCTTCCGAATTCTGCATGGTCTTGTTGCAACTATCGATTTTTCAAAATTACTTGCTCAAAACATCCGATGATCAGTAAAGTGGTCGAAGTGTGATTGGTCTCAAGGAGATGCTTTCCTAATCAAAAGTCAGAGAACAATTTTTCTACGGAACTAAGTCGGCCGTGGGTGTTGTCAGTCACGACGCGAGGTGCGTGCTCGCGCACGTCTGAGCTTTGTCTGACCTCGGCCAATCGTTGAAGACAACGATATCGATCGGCGTCGCGGTGTTCGTGAGCCGAAAAGGAAGTCACACGCGGTGCAAGCAGTGAACAGGTAAGAGGAATTCGTTAGGTGCCATCACACAGAACAGACTGCCTCAAATTAGTCCTTCTTTTATCCAAAAGTAATCCACTCGCTTGCAGAATTTAACTGCAGCCGCAGGATCGTCTAGGGTAGGGGTCGGCTACGTTGTCCTGGTTCCAAATGTAGGCGCGATGTGGGCATTACAAATAAATAAAGCTGAAGCAGAATGCTGAAATCTTTAATGTGGGAAAGCAACCAAAGCTAAAACGGAAAGGGGCAACCTGATGTTTCGATTTAGAGGTGGGTTGGTTTTAGGGATTGAGTTAGTGTCAGACTGAGAATTTAGTTTAGGGTCAAGGTTTGTGTTGATTTTAAGGGTTCCGGTTAGAGTTAGGGTCTGGATTGCGATTTAGGTTCTCGTTTAGTGCTGAACTTGGGGTTGGGGTTATTATCAGGATTAGGGTAGGATTATAGTTAGGGTTTGGGTTAGGGTTAAGGTTTGGATCGGAGTTTAAGTTAGGCTTAGGGTTTTTGATAGATTTAGGGTTAGGTTTAGTGTTAGCGCTAGGTTCATAAGTACTTCAAGGATTAGGTTTACTTTGGAGGTTAAGGTTAGGTTTACCGTTACTGTTGGGGATTTTACTGCACCGTGTGTCCTCTCAGCCGGGTTTTTTGTGGGGATTTTAGGCTTGCTTCGGTCTCGCGGCAGACTTACCATACATCCGGCTGCCCTTTTCCGTTTCAGCCTCGGCTACTTTTCCCCCCACCAGTTTCAACACACACCTCCCCCTTCGACTTACTTTCCTTTCAATGCCCCCACATTGCGCTTACACTTGGGCCCCGGACAGCGTAATCAATCCTTGCAGGGTGCAGTCCCAAGCACCTGGTTGCACCCAGTTCTGTTAATCTTGACAGCTGTTTGCTTCCCGCCCTCTCTGCAGCCTTGCCCGACCCCAGCTGAGCCGTGCACTATTACCTGCTGAAACCTCGGCAGTTGGCCGTGTATTATATCGAGCTGATAGAGACAACGGCGATGGCGTCCGAGAAAGCGGACAATCGTAGACAGGACGCCATTTGTTGGGGGTAAGTAAAAATGGACTTGAACAACACCCGAGTCTCACCCCTCAGGGCGGAGAACAAACAAGCAGTATTGCCAGCCCGCGCGTGTTTAGACATCAAGGGCGTGACTGGCTTGCCTTGGCTGGCAGCCAGCTTTTCGATCGTCAGGTCGTGGACGCTGTTGGCCCAAAGACGCCAGTAAGTGTTGGCGCGGATTCTGGTTGTACGCGCGCAACTTCCAGACGCGTGAGAAATGCCATTTTGATGGGGTGTAGCGGCCGAGGGTAGCACACACCAAAGTAGAGAAGCGCTGGGGAGGGATCCTGGCGGCGATCGATCTTAACAGAGTTGTTTTCATCTCCTGATACTCATTCGCGTGCAGGAGAAAACGGTAAGCCAGATATGGGATAAAGTATAATGGAACGAGATGGGCAGGGGAATTACGCATAATAATTTTTAATGTACATGTAGGATGAGATACAGCAACGAGGCAACCTGTGTGGATGGAAAGACGACCCTGACATGCTATCTAAGCGACCGGTGGGGATGCAGCGCTGTGGGCAACTGCAGAGAAGGGCCGAGGGGAGCCGAGCACCGAGGGGAGCCGAGGGGGCCGAGCACGCACTTAACCATCGCCACGCCAGGTCCGCGCCAAAAAGTGCTAAAGCATTCAAACAACCCTGTTCAGTTCAAGGGACGTTACGGGAGAACGGGGCACTGAAGTGGACAGATTTGCACTTGTACTATAACATCCCCCAGGATGAAACCCCACCTATCGGTTACTGGTGGGCGACCGTTTGCGGGGGTAAAGTCAGTCTAAAAGGATGGCGTTTCGCCTGCACCTAACAACCACTTTCGAAGGAGGATGGCAACTGAATTCCACCTTCGAAGAGCTTTTACTGGCATAGCCAATGGAGGCAGGAATGGCCATTTCTGGTTCATATGTGCTCCACAGTTCTAGAGGTCCAATGACCCTGAAAAGCAATTCACCTCTATGAGGGTGCGGCCGAGATGCCCTGATTCCGGGGAACAGAAATGCAGCATGCGTAATTTCACCAAGCTCCTATCTTCTAAACTAATGAAATTGTAAATCAGAATTTCCTTATAGTAAGATGTGGATGAGGTGTATTCTATGCAGTTTGTTTGTCTACGAAAATAAAGTTTAGAGATGAATGCGTGTTCCTCTCTCATGCGACAAATGTTAACTAGTCCATCATCCACCTGTTCAGTTCAAACGACTGGCCTGTAGGCACATGACTCATCTAAAGGGTCCAACCATTGGGGTCTCTCCAAAAAAAACTGTCGTTCCTCAGAAGTCGACTTCTAGGTCTTTTGATTTGACAGGGCAGTATTTGACAGGAGCATTTGGCGTCGCGGTATCTGACGTTCGGCGAGTGCTAATGGCCTTCAACCTTCCCTCGCAGTCAGTACTGGTCACCTGCGGCAGAAGACATAGTACCGCAGTCACTATGTGGCCCGAATAGTCTGGGACCCCAGTTCGATAATCAGGAACGAAGACAGGTGCTCCTACGGAAAGCTTGCTGCGAGAGACAGGAGAAGTCTGCGCGAACCGGAATAGAAGATGCAACCTCCTGATTCACACACATTACGACTTGTCATGGCAACGATCGTCATCACCCAATCAGTAATGCGAGCTAATACTACAGCCACAACTACAACTACTACTGTTTCTGATGACAGTTCGATCATCGTTGCCGACGATGTCCACCGTTTGCTTCACAGAAGGGTGACAGCTGGGACCACTACCCACACATGAGTTAGTTTAAAATGATAGTAGGCCTGCGCAGCATCTATCGCACTCTCTCCTCCCTCCCAACCCGAGCCCGGTGCCAAGACAAGGACAGGAAGATCGGAGACAGGAGCGGTCGCAGGTGGCTGGCACGGCGTCAACCCCCACCCAGGCCTACCACCACACCCTTTGGTCCACAACGCACACTGATCAGGATCTTACATAGCAAGAGAGGAGAGAGGCGGCTCGAATCCTACGGAGCGGGAGTGCCATAGAGGCCACATTAAGAAGGAGCCAGTGCAGCCTGACTCTCGGTCCACTAGGCTGCCACTCCATTTAAACACACACTAGAATGACTGCGAGGTCTGAGTTCCATCGTCAGTTGGCAGCCTTCCAAGCCATAACTTTTAGCCCACCGTGAAAAATTCAGACGCGTCAAATTTTGTACAGTGTGGAACATGCGCCGAGACGTTCACTTCACTCTCTCTCCCCCCAATCCCAGGTCTCGGTCACTGTCCGAGCCAGTCAGCTGTCTGATGTCGGAAATGGGGCCCAGTGGCTGACACCACCATTGCCTCGGAGTGATGGTGAAACATCTAAGACGATTGATTATCGGAGGTCTCGGTCTATATTTTATTTCCGTATAAAAGGTGCTAGACCAGTGATTATTGAAGCGTGACATTGAGCTCTCTAGTCCATTACCGGTCTCGAATGGCAACGATTAATAGCCCCTGTGGAGCATCGGACAAGGTATGACGAGGCGGTGACATTTTCATCCAACAGACAAATTTTGGGGATCGCCGCTGGATTACCCAGTGGGACAGTTCTACTGGACGGTCAGCAGTACGGTAGTGTATCGCTAGAAACTGTGGTCCTTCATTCGGCCAATCATAAGTCCAAACACCATCCGAGATCGGAAGCAACGATGTGTCGACGCCATGATAATTACACCGCAGTTCCGCTTCAGAGGACTGGAGGAAAGACACCAGTAGCAGTAGTAGTAGTAGTAGTAGTAGTAGTAGTAGTAGTAGTAGTAGTAGTAGTAGTAGTAGTAGTAGTAGTAGTAGTAGTAGTAGTAGTAGTAGTAGTGACTGTCAGAGCCCCGACGAGATAGGTGCTTCATAAGTTCGTATCACTGCACCTGGGCCAACCTGGTGGAGCCACGAGGTGGAAGTCATCGCTTGCGACGGTCGAAGTACCATTGGCGACTGCCTACTGAATAGTAACCTCCAATACCAGCCCATTTGGTCGTCGAATGGAATGTCAATGGGTCTTCCTTCAGAGTACTTGTAATTCCAATCTCATTGGTCGCGCCAAGGACGGGAATTAGGCAAAAAGAGTTCAAATTAAAAACTTTTAAAACAGGCAAACTGAGGGTTAGCCACACAGTCTTCTAAAAGCGGTAGATTTCGCTTTTTATTTCCAGCTTACCAGCCGTCTCCTAAACGTATGGGATATTTGCGACGTAGTCTTGCTATCGTAATATAGAAAGGGTAACCCGTTCATTGCAAGCCCCTCTAATCATCCGGGGCCTAACGCTTGTGCCAGTAAAAAAAAACCCTCTGTTCATTATCGCAAAGAAGATTCGCACGCAATTGTGGCGACTCAGCAGTGAGGGTGTACTCAGAGCGCCACAATAACCTCGACCCAGCCCCACTTCAGAGGAGAAGCGGAATTACGCCAGTAGGAGTAGTGCATTATGTACAGAAGTCTAATGGCTGTCAGAGCCCCCCGACGCAGAGCCGGCTGTAGGCCGGAGCGCGTCCCTGAGCGTGAGTGTCACTTGAAAGTCAGTCGGCGTCCGCCTGGTCAGTTGACTAGGTGATAGTGCAGTTTGTGGCGCCTGTGATTGGCTGTCCGCTAGGCTGAATGTACTCACGTTCTGGTGTGTCGTAGGTGCCGGAGACAGAAGGTTTAATGTCATTTGAGGCGCTACAACAGTTCGACCGTTGTGACCGACGACATCCACCGTATGCTCCGCAGTACAGTAAGAACAGGGACGGAGACTTAAAGTGGGTGAGCTAACTCATGGAATGTCAACCGAAATTCCGAAGTGAATTTTCGTTTCAAAAAGATTTATTAAGTAGGGTTGTAAAACTAATCAGTCTGCAGTATAATTCTATAATAATTCGGTTATCTTAGGATGCTGGGTTTCGAACGAATTTCCTTCCGGCTGCATACAAAGACTACACGCTGTAAAAAATGACTACTCACGTTGCATGCATTTTTCTCATTTATTTCCGATGTCCCTTAAAGTCGAATTATATTTCATGGAAAACATGCATAAAAATATTCATTCTTTTACTTATTCGGTAGAAAATTACGTCTTCTTCCAATTTTATACTCGAAGGAAGGGTATTATTCGGTGTTCAAAAACTTTGATAATTTCCGAATAATTTTGAATCCACACCACCGCCACACTTGCATTCAGGGTTTACAAACTACGAGCCGTATATTTTCCGCGTACGGAAAACCATACATTTTCATACGGTATTGGGAGGAGACCATATGGGGTTCATAAAATTAGGCAACGGATTTGAGCAATATTGTTAAATTTACAAGCCACATTCGTAAATGCAGAGATATGACGTTTTATGAACGGCCATTTCACTGTATCTCGTTTACAACGTACACTGACCAGGATTTTACACAAAAAATGCGGGGGGGGGGCGGTTGCGTGCGCCTGAACGTGGACGTTTTATCACACCCCCAATGTTGGTATTTGTTATGGGTGCGTATTGCCAATAACGTCTGCCGGACTCCGATCTAGCACAAACATGCACGTGTACCCAACGCAGGCGGTTCACGGGCTGGTTTTGTTAGATGGGTCACCAGCGCTTCGACGAACGGCAGCTCACCAGTGCCTCTCTACCTGACATTTTCTGTCGCTGCAGATCGGGTATTTGTTCAAGCAGGAATGGGCGCACACCGATTCACTGGCTGTCCGGAACAAACAAATTCCGAGTGGGTGACAGAGGTCACAAATAGAGTAACCATTTGCCCGGCCGAATTCCCTCAGCCTACGATTGCAGAGGAGATAAGAATGGAGATGTGGGTAGACTGATAGACTTATCTTGCCTTTACTCAAATGACCATCACTCTGACCACCATGTGTAAGCAGAAGCCATAACAATTGAACCGTCCTTGTCGACGATGTCCACCGTGTGCTCTGCAGTACGGTGGGAGCAGGCACGGTGGCTTTTGCGTGAGTAGACTTGCACGGCATCTGTCGCACTCCCTGCTTCTCCTCCCTCACCTGGTCCCGGTATCAAGACATAGTCAAAATGACCGAAGGCGGGAGAAGGCGCAGGTGGCTGGCCCGGCCAGACCCGCACCCAGACGAACTATCACACCCCCTGGTCCACAATAAATACTTTACCAGGATTTTAGCCAACAACACAGCATTACAGCAGGTCAGAAAGAGAAGGATGGCTGTGCAGCTGTAGTCACGACCTGTGTACCCAACGGGAGCGAAAACGCATCTACCGACAGCAGAACCAGGCGCCAGAGAACTGCCAGCGCACACCAGGCTGCGAGGGCACTTAGCCTGAGCCATCTACCACCAAAGGCCGGGTAACCAGTCAGTCATCGACTTAGAGGTACTACCCGTAGAATACAAACACATATGCTCCAAGTGTGCATGGCACCAAAAGCACAGACGGGTGCTCTCAGCGACGGCGTACATCGGGTGGGTCATGAACATCTTATCGTTGTCCTGCCACCTGGAACTCTCTGCCACTGCATATGCGGCAGTAATTTCTAAATGAACTGCCTCACACCGGTCATTTGGTAGAAACAAACCAAGACAATTCTCTTTCAGACTACCCTCACTCTTAGTCGAGTTCGACCTGGTGCGCCTCCGTCGCACATGCGTCCTCCCCCGCCCCCAGTCTTCTTGACACTGTCTTAAAACCAGGTCCAGGTGGGAAGTGCAGAAGAAGGAGTGAGGTAGATGCTGTACAAGTCTGCTACCACTGTAAACTAATTCACGCTCAAGTCACCGCGTCTGCTGCACCTAGCTGTAGAGCACACGGTGGATATCGTCGGAATCGACGGTCTAACTGTCGAGCCTTCGTCTGTTCGTGAGCTCTGACCCACATCTGAAACCGGTTTACCCTGGAGAGCAAACAGGTCGCCTTGCATTTCTATAGCAGATGAATCGATGCTCATTTGCTATGACTCAATCAATACGCTGATGGCATCTGTAAGCTTTTATTCCCTACCGACTGATGGAGTCGTTACAAGCGAAAATGCGAGTTCCAGGAACTAGTTGATCAGAAGAAGAAGAAGCGATCGCTGGAACAATGGCTTTATTCGCCTGACGTTTCGGATTCTCTCTTGAATCCATCATCAGAGACAGTTGCAGAAAAGGGTGGCTAGTGTACAGGCAGTCGCAGTATTTATAGGATGCGGTCGCCATGCTACCGCATACCTACAGCAATTAACCGTGCTCCCTTCATCAAGGATTGTTGCCCGCAGGTGCGCTAATGGCTTGATGGCCGGCATGCAAGTTGTTAATTGCTGACATCTCATCACCCGTGTTGGATGCTGGCGTGATGATCGCTCGGCCATCTGTCTCACGTGCTTGCGCGCTCCTCGGGTGGTCAATTGCTTTGGCCAGTCTATGCCTCAGGACAGAATATGGAGTGGGGATGTCGTTGCACTTGTTGATAGACTGAGGTCCCGTGAACCATGACTCAAGCAACTCGCGGCTCACGCGATTATCCCCTCTCGCGAGAATTTCGGCCTCATCGAACTTGAATGTGTGGCCGGGTCTCGTCGAATGGGCCGCGACCTGAGAGTTGGCGTCATTTCTCCGTACACCTGCCACGTGTTCGGCAATTCGCGTCCGGAGCAGTCTTCCAGTTTCTCCGACATAGTTGCTTTGTCCGCAACTGCACCAGATCCGGTAAACGACTCCGGTAAACGGCACAAATCTGCTTCAGTAGAAAGTGACTGAACGAGCCCGCGAGCAGAGAGCGACACGCGATGCAGCACTGGGGAACAAATTCCACAAACTGCCTGATCCAACGTCATCCAGAAGCGGCACACTGGTACACAACCTGTCGTCAAAGGAACTGACGAAGGAGCAAGCACAGGTTTTACGGCACGAAGCCTCATTCAACACAGCTGACGCCAAACCTGCCAACATGATTGCAGCAGTGGAATCGGCCATTAATCAGACGGAAGCGGCGGAGGAGACGAAGAATCTTATCCGACACCAAGTTACGTCCCTCCTTATGACTCACAAGCCGCGCGAAACACTCACAAAGGTCGAACGCCATGCACTAAGAGAACTCAAGGCCGACAAGAACATCGTCATTGTGCCCGCGGACAAGGAGCGTTCCACCGTCGTACTGGACAGAACAGACTACGTTCAGAAGGCCAAAAACCTACTGGAGGATCGCCAGTTCTATGTCCCATGTGAAACCAACCCCATAAAAACGCTGACACGCGAAATTAATGCAACACTGTTGGCACTGGAGAATTCGGGTGCAATAACAGCGACCGACCGACGCATGGCGAGAGCTAAAGAAACGGTTTTGGCCCGATTCTATGGTCTCCCAAAGGTGCACAAGGAGGGCGCTCCTCTCCGGCCCATTGTTTCGCTCAAAGGCACTCCAACGTACGGACTGGCAAGATGGCTGTTTCGGCGCCTCAAATTTCTGACCGCTGATTCGGACACCACGGTCTGTTCGTCAACGCAATTCCTGGAGAAGCTTAAAGGAGTAAGTCTCTTGCCCAATGAGGTCATGGTATCTTTTGATGTCACGTCCCTCTTTTCTTCTATCCCCCAGGATCTGGCAATCGAGACCGTCCAGCTACTCCTACGAAACAAATACGATGAAACGGAGAATCGCCTCGGACATGCCCAAGTCCTTCAGCTCCTAAAGTTCTGTCTCAGGACGTACTTCACGTTTGACGGAACAATCTACGAGCAAGTGAAGGGAACACCGATGGGCTCGCCGATTTCGGGATTCATCGCCGAGGCGGTGCTACAGCGGTTGGAGTCGCTGGTCTTCCAACACCACAGACCGAAATTCTGGGCTCGGTATGTGGACGATACCTTCGTCGTCATCGAACGGGATCAGGTGCTAACGTTCAAAGAACGTCTCAACAGCGTCTTCCCGGACATACAATTCACGATGGAGGAGGAAGAGAATAACCAGCTGGCATTCCTTGATGTCCTCGTCTGTCGCAAAGATTGTGGTGGCCTAAAGACCAAAGTGTTCAGAAAAGCAACGAACACGACGCAAATTCTGAACTTCAACAGTAACCACCCAATCTGCCACAAACGCAGTTGCGTAAGAACGCTATTTCGGCGTGTTGAAACGCATTGCAGTGAACCGGAAGACAAGGTTGCCGAATCCCAATATCTTCGACGGGTTTTCCGAGAAAACGGTTACCCGCGCAACTTCGTCAACCAGTGCTTGCNACCGCATCCTATAAATACTGCGACTGCCTGTACACTAGCCACCCTTTTCTGCAACTGTCTCTGATGATGGATTCAAGAGAGAATCCGAAACGTCAGGCGAATAAAGCCATTGTTCCAGCGATCGCTTCTTCTTCTGATGGAGTCGTTTCAGACAGCACCCCAGTTGTAGATTGAGCAGACTTCGAGATTCCCGGCTCAGTGTTCGCGAATTCACTTATTCGCGCATTCTTTTTTCGTGCAGCATATCCAAAACATTCGTCAGTTGTATTCATCTATTTTAGTGACTAAATAGATTTCTTATCATAAAAATGATAATACTAATATACTAATATTAATGTAAACAGCAAACAGTATTTGGTGTTTGGACATTAATCCGGGTAGTTGTAAGTCATTTTAAATGAGTCTCAGGGATTCATGGATTTAAACTATTTGCGGTTAGATGTGGCCCCCTACCCCCGTTACTAAGGGGCCAAAGGAGGCAAGGGATTTTTCCCCTCATTCCCCCATGAAAGAGGCATGTGATAATTTGCAGAAATCCGTTAACTGGGCCATCTGAAGGAACGTTTCCGGTTTCTCAGTGAAGGGAGTTTTCCTCGAGAACGTAAACGATGAAAAAGCCTGTTTTAGACCACTATGTGTTTTTTTTAGGGTTAGGGTTAGGGGTGGAAGTTAGGGGTTATAATTCAGGTTGTGAGTTAGGGCAACTATTTCTCAACCACTCAAATTACAACCTCGCATTCCCAATAGCCTTTCTTTTGCATACAATAGCTTGGCCTCGTCGCCTGTGCGTTCCCCGGCCCCACCTCTAAAAAGCTTATTACTACTGGTCGTGTATTACAGGTGGCTGGTTTTTGCTTACTTCGAGTGGGGCTACATAACCACATCTGACCGAATTATGCCCTTGAAGCCCCCACGGGGAGACATGAGGTGATTTGTAGAAACTCGTGAACTGGGGCATCTGAGAGAACATTTCCTGTTCCTCAGTGAAAGGAGTTTTCCTCGCGATCGTAGACGATGAAAAAACTTATTTCAGACCACTACGTATATACCTAGACCTTCATGTGCCCCTTTGAATTGGAGTTGTTAGGTCAGACGGTCCGGCATCTTTTCAGAAATGCAGCTGCTGCTCTGGTTGTCAATGCATGGCTGGTAGACCATCGATAGCAACAGTGGTTAGGGGCATCGGACTTCTAACTAACAAATCGCGAGTTCGAGCCTCGGGTGTTCCACACTTCGGGCTTGGGTATTTCTGACTGACGACGACTAATAAGCCAGAAATGGCCATTCCAATCTCCCTTGTCTTTGCCGGTAATGCCATTCTGCCTATATCATGCGCCGCTGTGAGGCTGCTGGTTGAGCTCTAAAGAGAGCCCGTAAGGCACAACGGAACGAGTGAGTTCCGTAAGAACGGTCGATGAGAGCTCCTCTACCATTGTTCATTCCCGATCGAAACCGACAGGACAACGGGCCCGTGGCTCAGTGGTTAGAGGCATTGGACTTCTAACCAACAGGTCGCGAGTTCGAGCTCCAGGTGCTACTCATAGCTGGGTTTATCATGCGCCGCTGTGGGGCTGCTGGTTGGATTCGTGAGAGAGGAAGAGTCCGAAGACACAATGGGACGAGATCGATGAGCGCCCCCCTCTACCCACATCTGAACGCTTGTAATCGGTTAGAAACAGAGGATGTCTTTCGGACTGACATAAGCAATCAAAAAGACAGAGCTTCCTGGTGATGGCTAAAGCAACGGCCAATTCCTCGTTGAGTAGACAAATCACCCTTCGTCGCCCTAGGGCCAAGGCATGCATCCCAAACGTCATTGACTGTGGCACGCGCCCTTTACTCGCCCCAGCTGCCCACCAATCCCCTAACAGCCGACCTCTCCCAGGGGTTAATTCAATAATTTCGGACGAAAATATTAAAGGGCTACGTTGGATAACTGTAGAAATGTCAGAGCCCACATAAAGGACTGGTGAGTCAGTCGGTTCAGGTGTCTGCAGGAAAATTGGTGAAATGCGTGTTTGGCATAGCGCTTTTCCACTAAATTAGTAATAAATGTGGAATTCGTGAAGGCAGATCGCGTAATACCGTTCCCCCCTTCCCCACCCTGTCGGTGAACATCAACCTAACGAAGCACAGACATCATCCACCAATGAAAATTTGGACAGGTGAAACCCCATGCATGCTTTCCAGCATCGATAAGACCAGTCGAGTAGTGCTCATAGCTTTTTGAATAAAATTCCTCACACCGTCCCGATTTGCGCATTTTTGAGAAGAACAACCACACATTTGCGTAATACTCACCCGACCGAATCATCCTCCTGACTCACCAGGTTGGCACGGTTTTGACGACAGACGCAACCAGAGACGTTTTGGCATGCAGGCCACTCTCATGGGATTCTGCTATTTCTCACCCTAAGGTATGATCGCGTTCGACAGTTGTTCTTACAAAAGGCAAATGGATAAAAAAAAGCTCCACTGCTTAAATCTCTAGTGGCTGAAAAATGCAGTGAGCGACCGATCTCATGAAATGTTGGCTGAGATTCAGAAATGCGTTTTCGAATAGAAAGGATTACTTAGGCGCATTTGTAATACTGGTTATTTTGTGGTAGAATCCTGTAATATTTCGGACTTAGCAGGACGTCAGCTTTTTAATACAGTGCTTTTCAATCTTCTGTAGAAACCTTTCTCAGTAAAATAAAATGACTACTTAAATAGCATGCCTTTTGCCATTGATTTTCGATGGCCTTACACATTCAAATATATTTTATAGAAACCACGAACAAAAATATGCTTTCTTTCAGCCGTTTGACAGAAAATCACGTCACAGTGTTCCACACAGACGGCTTATATTTAAACTACGTCAAGTGTGTTTGAATGGAAATCTGTTGAAATGGTTGGCCGATTTTCTTACGGGCAGATCTCAGCGTGTGTGTATCGAAAAAGCTAAATCTGAATGGGCATCCGTGCACAGTGACGTTCCGCAGGGGAGCGTTCTGGGTCCAATTCTGTTCTTAATATACGTGAAGGACTGCCTGGACTGTCTGAACTGCGAGCGCGTAACGTTTGCCGATGATCTCAAGTTGTGGAAGTCAATACAGAAGCCGGAAGACTCTGTACAGTTACAAGACAGTCTGACTTACTTGCAACAATGGCGTGATGAGTGGTGTCTTAGCCTCAATCGTAACAAATTTCAACTTATCCAATTACGATCGAGCAACAGGGGGCCGTTGAGATTTGAGTCTCACTACTTTATAAGAGGTCACCAACTCGAATCAGTCAACCAGTTAAGAGACCTCGGTGTGTGGATAGCGTCAACTCTTAAGCCATCGTCTCACTGCGCCAAGGTATAAAAGAAAGCTATGGGTATCCTAGGCGCGATTAGAAGATCCTTCCTCAATTTTGACGAAGATTTTTTCGGCTCAGTATTTGGATCACTTGTTCGACCAATGCTGGAATATTGTTTTCGGGCATGGTGTCCCTAGACGAAACAAGATTACACCCTACTGGAGAACGTACAACGAAGAGCAACCAAGCAAGTCGGCGGATTAAGTAGCTTACCTTATGAGAGAGGCCTGGAAAAGCTAAAAGTATTTCCTTTATCTTATAGACAATACAGAGGGGATATGATCATGGCCTTCAGGATCGTCCGAGGGCTAGACTGTGCTCTTCAGGTTGACGATTTCTTCGAACTGTCGCGGACTACAAATCTTCGAGGACACCAATACAAATTGAAGCTAAAATATGCCAAACTCGAATTTCGGGCTAAATTCTTCTCCCACCGGCTGGTTGAAGGATGGAACAAATTGCCGAACTCCGTTGTCTTAGCGGAACACGTTGAGACCTTCAAAAGAAGACTAGATAAATTTATGCTTGGTGGTCAAACATTTATGCGATATCAATGATTGGCATAACTGCTATGCAAATATCTGCATGTTTTTTCAAACATCTGTCTGTAAATAGGGCTTTCCAAGGCTCTGTCTCTATCCTTCATATGTACTGAATACTGAATTTTACTGAATCTTTATATTTTATACCCGAAGAAGGAGTAAAATTAGGTTTTGAAAAAGTTTCTTATTACGAGATTTTTTAAGACCGCGCAATGTCCATTCATATAGCATCTTACCTGCCCGTTTGCCACTGCTCCTCATGAAATTAACAACATAGTCCGCATCCATTGCAGAATTTTATAAACTCTATATGATAACTTTTTAAAGGCATAGAAGAATATGTGATTTTCTTTACGCGGAACGTATACTCCTTGTAGACTGAAATCACTGAGCGCTAATGCAACGGCTGATCAGCCTCAGAATTATTCGGTAATTAGAAAACTCTTTTAAAACCTAATTATACTCCTTCTTCGAGAATAAAATATAAAGATGACGTGGCTGTCTATCAAACGACTGAAAGAAAGCATATTTTTCTTCGTGATTTCTATAAAATATGTTTGAATTTGCAAGACCGTCGAAAATCAATGGGAAAAATGCATGCTACATAAGTAGTCATTTTTACCGAGTACAGTTTCTGCAAGAGGTCAAAAAGACGTGCATTCAAAAGCCGACATCCTGTTGAGTCCGAAATATTATAGGATAATGTCGCAAGGTAATAAGTATTACAACCGCGCCTAAGTAATTTTTTCCATCCGAAAACGCATTTTGGAATTTCAACTAACATATCATGAGATCGGTCACTCACTCTATGTGTATATCCAAAAAACAGCTGAATTCGAGTGAAATTTAAAGGATTTATTCAGCGTCCTGAAATATTTTGATGTTTTCGATAGTATTTGCGGATGGACTGAGTATATCCTTAAAATAGGCTGAGAAACAGGCCGTCTTATATTACGTTTAATAACGGTTTATCTAACTACACTCCTGACCCAAACTACTGTAAGGGACTTCCGCCCTATCTCTTCATGGCTGAGCAGAATTTTTTCTGAGCAAGAAATCTGAGAAAGTGCAAGAAAGAATATGTTTTACCTGTTTTCGGAAGAAATATGATCAGATTTATTACAGTATCGAAAAAAATTGCAGAACTTTATTAGTCACTTTAGACAGTATGATTTTTGCGCATCCAAAGGTCGCCATACTAGCCTTAATGACATGTCTTACGACCATGCTGCATGATACTCAATCTTGTAACCCCGCCTAAGTGATCCGTCTACTGAAACCACATTTCAGAAGTTCACTTAATGTCCCTTGATATATTTCGCTTACTGCGCATCAGTAGTTCGTTCTAAATCATCTTGCTACGCAAGTAATCCATAACCACTGGAAGAAACTGTCTAATGCACTTCCTAGCTGAAACACAACATCCTTGGCTTGCAGTTAAGTTGACGGATGGGGGCGTTTGAAAGTCAGTCGATTTAATGACCCTTTTATCTGCAAGCGTCTCTGATGATGGGTTAGAACGAGAATCCGAAACGTCAGGCCAACAAACTTCTTGTTTCAATGGTTGCATCTTCTTCTTCTTAATGACCCCTATCATCTGCAGGGCAGTTAACCTCAGAAATTCCAAATAATATCAAGGCTATTTTATTGTTGCACGAGAAGCCTGTTGTAATGACGAAAACCGAGGTTTCAACAGCCACGGGAGGGGGGACACACACCGACCAAATTGCGGAACTCACTCGTCCCGTTGTACCTTGGGGCTCTCTCTCTCTATCGAGCCCCGCCAACAGCGGCGCCCAACGTAGGCAGAATGGCATTAACGACAAAGACAAGGGAGACTGGAATGACTACTTCTGGCTTTTTAGCCATAATCAGTCAACCCTACCTCGACCCCGAGGTACGTAACCCCCGACACTCGAACTCGCGGTCTGTTGGTTAGAAGTCCAACCCCCTAAACATTGAGCCACGGGCCCGTTGTCCTGTCGGATATGATCGGGTATATCAACAGTGGTAGAGGGTACGCTGTTCAGTCGTTTTTTTTATGAAAAACACTCGTTGCTTTAAGCAACAGCCGCTTGCACACACTGTTCGGGGGATGTCGATGAGGCCTGTGAGAAGGCGGTGACTCGAGCAGCCAAACCTCGTGTCTCTGGCGAGCCTAGACGCCATCGGTAGGGTTGAAATTCGGGTAAAAACTAACCAATGAAGTGCGTGAACTTCCACATACGCTTCGTAAGATGAAACAATGATATGCTGCATTATGCATGTGCTCTTTGCCACTGGGGACAAGTGGGGGAGTACAGAAAATGTGTCATCTCAAGAACTGAAATTTTGAAATGCGCTATTGATTCGAACAAATTACTTAGACAGAGTTGAAATGCCAATTACCATACAACAGAATCCGCAAATATTCCAGGCATACCAGGATTCTGCCTTTTAACGAGCTTCTTTTTAGCCGTCTGCACAGACCAGACTACTAAAGTAAGTAGTAGTAAGTAAGTAGTGTGCATTTTCCTATCGATTTTCGATGCCATTATAAATTCAAAAGTACTTTCCAGAAAACCTACACAAAAATATTCTTCCTTGTACTCATTTGGTAGCAACTTGCGTCTTCTTTAGATCTTATGTTTGAAAAAAGTGTTTTCGATGTAAAAAAAAGTTTATAATTATGAACTTTTTGGAGAACTTGAAACCCCCAATGATGCAGCAGCACAGTAGAACACTTATTTATGCTTTTTAAAGTGGACGACACGGTCCGCATTCATTCAAAAGTTTTGTCAGCCCTATATGACGCCTTTTTAAAGGCGTACAGAAATGTATGGTTTTCCCTACACGCAAAGTGTACAGGTTATAGTTTGGGAACCTTGAATGAAATTGTAAAAGCACCTCGGTTTCAAAATTACTCTGGAATGGAAAAAGTCTTTTAAAATCAAAAAATCCTTTACCTCAAGCATAAAATTTGAAGAGTATGTAACTTACTACTACGCGAGTATAAAAAAAGAATGCTTTTTGTATGTTTTTTGGAAAATATGCTTGAATTTATAAGGGCATCGAAAATCAATAGGAAAAACCATACCATATAAATATTCATTTTTATGCGTAAAGATTCGAGGTCCAGACATTGTATCGCGTTCATCATCTCCCGAAGAAGACGAAGAAGAAGAGAGGGCGAATTCATGGACCATATTGTATTCGAACTGACGTTTCGGAAACTTCCTCGTTTCCATCATCAGAGTAGCGTAATTGTTGCACTTGTCGGTCTTGAGTTGTTCAGTCTTGCCGCTTGCCTCGTATTATAGCCGTGTTGGACGCACGAACTTTGACCTGCCTGTTTGCCGCTGACTGGCTTAGACCATGAATTCGCCCTCTCTTCTTCTTTGTCTTCTTCGGGAGATGATGAACGCGATATTCATTTTTAGAAAATGTGTTTTGTACAGACGGTGGGAAAGGCAGCATCCTGGAGTAACGCAGTTACCGTGGTATTATGCTGCACGATTCTGAGTGTCACGACCCTACTTAATCAAACTTTTCGAATCGGAAACACAGTTCAGAATCACAGTTAACATTTAATGAGATGGCATATCTACTGTAATTTAGCCCACTAGTGAGTATTATTTCCATCTATCTGAAATACAGCGGATTTTCGTTAACCTGCAGTTCAGCCGAACGTCTGTCATCTCATCCAGGCGAATTCTGTGTGGCTTCGCCTCTATCTTGAAACGCCTCCCTCCCTTCCCTTCATCAGTTTGTCACAATTCTAGGAGCCATTGTGACGTTTGTAAATGCTGCTCAGATAGCATGCAGAGGATCCATAGTTATAACAAGGAAATACCCATGGTGCGTGGGACTGGGAACAGATGGAGAGAGAGAGAGAGAGAGAGAGAGAGAGAGAGAGAGACCGACACCGGGTAATCTATCTCCGCAGCACATCGGGGCTCGAGTCTACCACGGTGCGCGAAAAGTCATGGCTTAGAAGACTGCCAATTGACGAGGCAACTCTGCCTTCTTGGAGTGACTGGAGGACTGAGAATTGGGCTTGCTAGTACCTCCCGCCTGATGCGGCCCCTGCGCTTCCCCCCGTATGTGAGATCCGGGTTGTTTGGCACACGTAAGGGGAAGCGGATCGCGTGCGGCACGCGTAGACGGGTTGTTTAACTTTGTCAGACACTGCGTCCGAGCTCATCCCCGGTCGTCTTGAGATTATCCTGCCATCGGAGTCAAGCCGGTGAGGGAAGGGAGAGTGGGGTAAAGCAAGTCCGCCTCACTATAACCTTATTAACACGCAAGTCATCGCAAGTCATTAATAAATTCAAAGGTATCCCGATAGCTATGTGGCGATAGTTGATACTGTAGAGACCAAAGTTTCTCTGCTAGCCACTTTGCTGTCACATTATACGATGAGTTTCTCATGCCTAGGACTGGACGAACCGGTGTGTCATCTTTGTGAATCTTTGGCAAGCCATATAACCGAGGTATATGGGTGCCGACGGGTCGGAGACGCTCTAGGTCGTGCTTACTTATTAAATCACTCGCTTGAAGTCCTTCCAAACAGTCAGTCAGCCGTGCTTCCACCTCATCTGTTCGATCCTTCTCCTTTTCTGCCTTTCGGAACTTTTCCTGGTCCGACAGTCCTGTCCATCGAAGCAACACCAGTTCCCTTATTATCATGTCTTCGTTTCGCTGGGGTTGCTTTATTTTCTCAATATCCGACTTCGTCAGTAAGCCTCGACAGTTACCCACAGTTACCATGGGCCAAAGCCATCATGCCAGGTACCCGTCCCAGTGCCCACCATCCCCTTCTCCTCCCTGACACTGACGGTAATTTTGTTTTTCACCGCACCCACCTCCCCCCACCAAAAATCCCAGCAACAGAATAGCGTCTGCTTTCCCACATTTTCCTATTGGTGTACAGATCTGGAGAGGATTTATCGAAAGCAAGCGTATACTCACCAAATTGTCTTTTTAACTCTGCAATGGGAATTGTCGCAACTCCAAAACAAAAACCCTGACCTCGTCACAGCGGCTAAAACCATATTGGGACTCTGGCCACTACAACCTTCAGGCCAGGTCCTGAACAGAAAGGGAAGTTGGACTTCAGTTGTAAATGCATCGTATTCTGCGACAGTTCGATCGTCGTTGCCGACAATGTCCACCGTGTGCTCTACAGGGGGACTTGCTCGTGAATCAGTTTATAGTGATAGTAGACCTGCACAGAATCTACTGCACTCCCTCCTCCTCCTCCTCCCCACCTGGGCCTGGTGGCATGGCCAAGTCAAGGAAACCGGAAGTGGAGGAGGGCGCAGGTGGCTGGCACGGCAAAGACCCGCATCTAGGCGTACCACCACACTGGCCATGACTTGCAATAAAAACAAAAGTAGGCGGACGGTACGGACCCTAATGGACGCCACGTGAGCCGGCAACTGGGCATGCAGTCACGCCCTCATGTTGACATTTGTAATGGCTGCGCATCCCCAATAACGCCCGCCAGACTCCGACCTAGCCCCCTGCGTTGGTCCAGCGCATCCACTGTGTGGCCTGTTTAAGGGGCACATTGTATTCTGTACAGAATTATTGGAGAACAGGTTAGAACAAGTTAGCCGCCAAATGGGAGCACACGTCCGCTGCCGCGAGAACGGGCGCCTCGAGCGTCACACCAACGCCTTGAGCGAGAGCACGTCCGATTCGACCTTGAAGTTAACTGGTCGCCTTGGATAACTGTGATTGGCCGAGAACCAGACCGCCGCTGTTGTGCACGAGAGGCGCTCTCAATAGGGCTTCAACACTCTAACCCCAACCTTAGTGTCAACCCTAGACATTATCACCAACCCTAAATCCCCTGGGAATTTGCGCAGGACCCTCGGAATGGGGAGGGAGTTCTTGTTCCCATGTCTTGCTTTTGACTTTAATCTGAAAAGGTCAAACGCCGCTTTTGGGCTATATTTTCAGCTGGCTGAAATCAACTGTCCGAAGCAGCCTTGATTGGGGGAAAACGATCAAAGAACGGGATTATTCTATAAAAATACAATTAACCGATGAAAAAAAGATTAATCACTTCACGAGTGATCAACAGACCTGTGGAAGTGCTATGGTCGCCAACGATAATTTTCGTAAATCAGAAGAAGGAGAGTCCTTCACTCAGAAGGGGAACACGCAAACTACTCACAAATCGAAGACAAAAATTGTTTTACGAAGGCAGGGGCCAGTTAATGTGACCGTGTCAGCGCGAGGTGTGAGCGTACGACTGAACAATGTCCGACTGCAGTCAATCAGTAGAAAGCAAAATATCGGTCTACGTAACTGCGTTGGCAAGCAGAAGGCATGCAAACAGTTAGACGTCCCGACGTTGATTGGACGATCGTAGTCCTCTGCCCAAGGCAGTATTCTGACCACAAGCGACAAAGGTCATTTCTCAGTTATATCACCGAAAAAAGCTACTACTACTACTACTACTACTACTACTACTACTACTACTACTACTACTACTACTACTACTACTACTACTACTACTACTACTACTACTACTGCTACTGCTGCTACTGCTGCTGCTGCTGCTTCTTCTACTACTACTACTACTACTACTACTACTACTACTACTACTACTACTACTACTACTACTACTACTACTACTACTATTACTACTACTACTACTACTACTACTACCACTACTACCCGTAACCAGAATCCCATTCCTGTTATGAGTAATGATGACGGCTTAGAGGTATTGGACAGCACAAATAAAGCTGAGCATTTTTCTCAGTTTTTTTCAATCTGTTTTCACAAGAGAAGCAGATTTTATTCCACCTAGTTCTGGAAGCATGGAGGATCTGGCTATTGAAAATGTTGTGTTTCGAGGAGAAGCGATTTTAGAAGAACCAAAAAGCTTGGAGGAATGTAAATCTCATGGTCCGGGCGAGATCCCAGCAAAGTTGCACTCCGAGCTAGCCCGACAGCTGGCCAAACCGCTATCCTTTCTGTGCCAGAAGTTACTTGATGCTAAAATCTTTCGCACAGACTGGAAAACGACCCACATTACACCGCTTTACAAAAACTGTAGTCCTGTTCTTGCAGCGAACTACAGACCAGCCAGTTTGAAATCAGTCTGTTGCAAAGTCGTGGAGAAAGCCATCAAAAGGAGTTTATGGCTTATTTGGAAATCCACAACCTCTTGTCTAATGCGCAACACGGCTTTGGCAGGAGAAGGTCGTGTGTAACGAACTCGTTATACACAGTGTAAAGCTGGACTAGAGCACTTGATGCAAAACACACTGTGAATGTGGCTTATATTGATTTCCGGAAGGCGTTCGACTGTGTTCCGCACCAGCGTCTCCTGTAGAAGTTGAGATTGATGGGCATCGGAGGTAAATCTCTTAAATTGACCGAGAATTTCCTCGTCGATCGTTCCCGAACTATCTGCGTGGAACAACAGCCATCAAGGCGCACAGTCATAGAGAGTGAAGTGCTGAATGCTCGGACCGGCCCTCGTTCTCTTGTTCATTAATGATTATGTAGAGAAGGTGGACTGTGATAGTGCTGTGTCTGTGGATGATGTAAAAATCTGGAAGGTCGTCCAGAATGCTGCCGATGAGACCGACTTCCAAGAAAATCTTTGTCGATAGGACGAGTGGTCCCGGAGATGGCTCCTGTCATTAAATTTGAACAAATGCACCATATTATCCCTCGGAAACGAGAATCAGATCCCTAACACGCGGAGATACTATCTGAATGGAATGTCGCTCTGAGAAGCAGAAACATAGACAGATCTCGGCGTCTGGGTTGCAGACAGCCTTAAGCCTTCTACGCAATGTTGTAAGGCGACCAAGGCCGCAACTTCAATGCTATACGCCATCGAGCGGACGTTCACGGTTTTCGATG